AGAGAGGCTGTGGGGCAACCCGAGCATCCCGGTGCTTCGCTGTCTGTTTAGTGAGTTGGCCCTGAGAGGGTATGAATGGCTTGGTTTTTTTATGTGCAGTGTTTTCTAGAGCTGGGTGGAAAGGAGTGCTGGGCATAACCACTGCGTAGGGTATCCCGCTGGGAAGGGGAGATGGAGTGCCGGGACCAGAGGCAAAGGCTGCAGATAGCAGAGTTAGGTTAAGGCATTAGGGTGACATTGTTTACTCTGAGGGTGGTGAGGCACTGGTACAGGTTGCCCAGAGAATCTGTGGCTGCCCCATCCCTGGAAGTGTTCCAGGCCAGGTTGGATGGGGCTTGGAGCAAACTGGGCGAGCAGAAAAAATGTGGCGGGGCGTGGAATGAGATGTTCTTAGAAGCCCCTTCCAACGCAAACCAGTCTGTGATTCTATGCTGTATCCTTGAGTCTCTTCACACAGAGCTCTGTTTCTCCATCAGCTACAGGAGAAGCCTTTGAATTGTAAGGGAAGGACGAGAGGAGCTTCGCTGCTGGAATGGAACAGGCAAAGCCTTACATGTGGCTTTCTTCCTTTCAGAGAGCCTGTTACAGCCAGGTACCACTGTGGGATGCTGCAGCCATAGAGATAGTTCAGCCAGGAAGCAGCTTCAGCTGCAGTAAAGAACCTTGTCAAATTGTACCAAAGCATTAAATAATATAATGTTAAAACCCATCTGGTATTACAAAACAGCAAAATCTTGCAGCAGAACCTTCTCCTTTCCTTTCCAGGGTCCATGTGGGCCTGTTTTCCTGAGCAGGGTCTGATCAGGAGAAACCTGGGAATTTCTTCAAGCGGTCTGAGTGGTTCTGTGACAGGTAGCTCACAGGGGTGCACAAGAAAATTTGCAGCAACCTAATGATAAGAGGATGACATGATTGGAAACTGCTTCTCATCAGTGATGAGCCGGTTGCCATGTAGCAATTTAAACTATGAATGCAGGCAGATGCTGCTAATTACCTCAGGGCTGCTTGTTGATGAGACTGTGCTGATGAGTATAAATTATATTCCTTTCTATTCTTACCCACTGCTCCTCTACCAGCTGACCCCAAAAGACATGTCCAGCTCTTTGCCTGAGACTGGAGCAGAACCACTGGCATACCAAGGCTGAAATCATGCTGCTCACTCTCTCAGCACGTTGCCGTGTTTGCTCTCTTCCAACCCTGTGGCATTTGTCTTGCTCTGGAACCATTACCAAAAATACCACGGGTGAGCCAGAGACCTCCTCCTTTTCTCTCAGCACGCTCCTCTGCAAGTTAATCAGACTAATTGGAGTTGCTTATCATCTTACATGCTGATTTCATGTCCTCTTTAGTTACTAAGGCAGGATGAGAGTGGTACAGAGGTACTTTGAGTCAGCTCAGGTCCAGCAGAGCCAGTTTTGCAATGCTGCCCCTGTCCTGTTGCCTGATTTGTTCTCCTGGTGTCTGTTGCACCCAAGATATCCAGGAAGCATAACAGCCCAACTCTCTGTTGTTAGAAACTCCTCCTGGCTCTGTGGCAAGTAAAGAACAACTAATAACCCTACACAAACTGAACAAAGGAGAAATCATTCCTGAGCTTGGAGCTGTTGTGCAAACAGGAATTGTAAACATCTGGAACTCCAGGTTATGGTTCATAAACTCATCTTTGCAGTTAAGTCTTGCTTTCTCCTGCCAGGAGTCCTGACATCGTAGGACAGCTGGATAATCAAGCTGATTCCTACCTGGATGTCCTGTTCCTCTAGCAACAGTCTGCTTTATACTTATGCTGTGGAGTAGCCCCTGCTTCTTTCCCCCTTTTTGTCATTATGACATCAGTTCAGTGTTTCAGTTTCTAGTTTTTCCATGTCCTTTATTCCTGATATAGGTGTCTCTGTTTCCTTGAATGCTGTGTAGTGCTAAATTGTGGCTCCAGACCACATGCTCCTGTGGGGCCATGGGCTCTCACAACACCTGTCTGTACTACCTGTCAGGAGAACATGGCACCTCTGAGACAGGTGAAGGCATTTGCTCTGCCATAATTTGGAACACTGTTCTGGCAGGAACACATCCCCAGACCACAGTGTTTCATATTGCCTCTCTGGACTGACACCAAAGTACCCTTTTTGCTCTTTTTTACCCAATTTAAGTCTGGAGCCATTCATAGACTCAAAACCTGCAAGTTTCCCTTAGGTGAAAGCTTGGGGTATGGTTGTTTCACACAGGCATCAGTGCTTGCTTTGAGAGTGTGTAACTGTTTGTACTCTTTTGTTACTATTGACCACAAATCTCCTGTGCAGAGAGAATTCTTCAGATGTGTCATCATTTTAAGCTCTCCAACTTTCTGTCCACCTTGAAGCACATCTCCAGCCCCAGGGCTCAGTCACAATATTTTTGTATCACATTTTCTTTGTTTTCCATATTTGATTTCTGTAGATGAATATCTGCAACAAACCTTCTAATAAGATAACTCCAGAGAATTTGAGTGAAGCTGTTCCTGAGGTGCAGGTCCAACGTGCTCGAAGAAATGGCTGGAGCTGGCCTCTGCACCTCTTCCAGATTATTGCCTGGCTGCTGTACCTCTTCTTTGCACTGGTTGGCTTTGGAATCCTGGTTCCTCTCCTGCCCCGCCACTGGCTGCCTGCTGGCTATATTGTATCCTTTGATCAAAGGAGAGCATGGATTGTAATAAATTATCAGTGGGTTTGGGAACAGTGGTTGTTAGGTAGCAAAGAAAGCATAAGAGAAAGCAGCTGAATCAGAATTGTTTTCTAAACTTTAACCCTCATCTTGATCTCCTGACTATAAAACCAGTTGTTGTCACTGACATTCTGCTTGTCTCCTGCTTCACTCTCTGTTAAGGCTACTACTTCGCCTCCAAGGCTTTTCTGCTGTCTACTTCTGCTTATGTGTCTCCTTTGCTTTATCCAAGTGTGCTGCAGTGTTTGAGGGAAGTTGTGCTGCAAAAACCCCTCCTAAAATATCCTTGCTGGTGGTGGGAAGCCCCAGCTCCCTGTGCTGACTGGATGAGCTATGAAAGGCAGCTTTACATGCTCATGGTTGTATGGTGGGTTGCTTGTGATGGCTGAGGGCAGATGTTCTCCCTGGGCTCTCTCCTGTCTTCGGTAGAAAATCTGTGAGTGAAAGACAAGGTGGTATGAGGTGAACCTTGGTGATCTGTTGTGGAGCAGTCTTGAGCAGCAGTTTAATACATGTCTAACGAAGATGGTGAAGAGCCTAGAGGAGAAGCCATATGAGGAGCAGCTGAGGTCACTTGGCTTGTTCAGCTGGAGAAGAGAGGACTGAGGGCAGAGCTCATTGCAGGCTGCAGCTTCCTCATGAGGGGCAGTGGAGGGGGTTGCACTGATCTGTGCTCTCTGGTGACAGGACCCAAAGGGAATGACATGGAACTCTGTCAAGGGAGCTTGAGGCTGGATATTACCAACAGTTTCTTCACCCAGAGGGTGGTTGGGCACTGGAACAGACTCCCCAGGGCAGTGGTCACAGCCCCAAGCCTGACAGAGCTCAGCAAGCATTTGGACAATGCTCTCAGGCATATGGTGTGATTCTTGGGGTTGTCCTGTGCAGGGCTGGGAGCTGAACTGAATGATCCTTGTGGATCCTTTCCAACTCAGGATGTTCTATGATTCTACCAGCCCTCTAAATGTGTGCATCTGATTTATGTATGTCTATGAGTCTTTGATATGTTTGGGATGATTTTGCTTATCATTGTTTTAGTTACACCTGTGTGATTTAAGCATTAATGTAATTAGCTCACAGTGTTCTTATGTCTACTTATCTTACCTAAATCCTTGGTATTATCACAGTTCAAACCTTGTGAATTTGACTACCAAATATCTGCATAGTGCAATCTAAAGTCACTCTAATTCAACAGATTAATGTATCCCAAAGTTTTACTTCCAGTTAATAAAGCACTAATGTCTCTTTTGTGTCAAAAGCAAATCCCTTCCTATTCTGCTACACCAGCCATCAGAGCTCCAGTCAGCTGGACCTCTCAAAGACCTCCTGTTTTTTCCTTACTACACTGCTCTGTTTTCCACAGGCCTTGGTATGATCAATGATGTGCACATCTGGTGTATAGCAAATAAACCAGAAGGTTAATTTTTGTGCACATGGTGATTTGGCTGCAGTATATTGAGAAGCAAACCCTCAAGCACAGGGGTGCTCCTTGGGATTCTGCCTGAGGAAAAGGAAAGCAAGGTGATCAGAACTAGTTCCTTGATGTGGCTTTTCTTTCTTGGAAGTTTGGTCCTGTGAAGGGGCATGTGCACAGCCTTAACCACTTTCCTTTCCAAGGAGTCTGTATGGACTAAGAAACATGGACCTATGTCAGCAGTCTGTATGTGGGTCAGATTATGGTAAGTAAAGGTAACTTCTAAAAACTCCTGTGCTAGGAAGGGCGTTTCTGTGAGACAGAGTAGTACCTAATAAGGAAGGTTGTTCCTATAGATTTAGTTGTCTTTTTCCAGAGGATATTTATTACAGCACAAACATCTCTGTTAATAAAGCTCAGATTAATGTGCTGCAATCAGTTATGTAGTGATTTCTAATTCTAAGCCGTATATTTCTCATCTGTGTGGGCTTTGTGTATTAAGGATTAAAAGACACACAGTAAATCCTTAACTGTGTACTTCAGTGTCCAGGAGTGTGTTTTATCTACCATTTAGTTGTTCATCTTACTGCAGTCTCCATTGATCCTGCGGATGCAAATGTGAGAGAAAAAAACTATCTAGGGCCTCTGGCCACCTTCAATCGTAACCAGCATGCACATGTCATTGAAAACCATCATTGCCATGTCTGTGACGTAGATGTGTAAGTATCTTCTCTCTTCTTTCTACTACTCTGTCTTCTACACCATTACATGTCACTGTAAGTCTTTAATGTTTGACTCTAAGACTGAAATTGAGCCCCTGAAGTGCGAGTTAAGCTTTCTCCTGTGGCAGGGCTCAGGTGTTGGGTAGGGGCCTGCTGTCAGTTGTGCACAGGGTTCTGTGTTTCATTCAACTGCTCACACGTTGTGTGGAGAGTGCTGTGGTGTTCTGTGTTACCTGGGTGTTGGTGTTTGACCTAACAGCATGTAACCTGTATGTGTGTGCTTATATCTGCCTTGTGGTAATTTGGTAGCAGAAGATGCTTGGAGAACAGGCATTAAGATCAGGCTTTGTAGAACTGCTGAAGGGATTGAATAAGAAATCAGCAATCTCCAAATTAGAAATCACGTGGTGCATTGAAAGGTGAATCTGGTAGTGTGTGGGATTGTGGTCCAGCAAAGTCTGGGAGTTGAAATACTTCTAATGCAGAAGGTTTTCTCACTATTATCAGGATCTCTGCTGCTCTGTCCCCTTGTGTTTGTATCACTGGAAAGTCATGGCAATTAGCTGGTGCTGCCACACTAATGCCACTCTTTCTTTGTCAGGAGTGCCAAATCAAAGCACTGTGGAACTTGCAACAAGTGTGTGTGTGGCTTTGATCATCACTGCAAATGGCTCAACAATTGTGTGGGAGAGAGGAATTACTGGTAAGAGCCTGGCGTTGTGACAGGAACACAATACTGTGGCTCCTCTTTCCAAGGTTCTCCTGCATCTCAGCCCAGTCTGCACTCAGCCACACAGAACCACTTTTCTTTCAGCCCCTGGCTGAATAAAATCAGTCACATGTAAACTAGGTGGAAAATACAAGCATGATTATGACATTTAAATGACCATGGATGAAATTCCTACACTTAGAATTTTGTTGTTGAACATAAAGTCAAAACAGAGAACATAGTCTTATTATTTGGTATTAGGAAAAGCTTATGGGATGTCAGTTGGGTATCCTTAGTGCTTCTGAGAGCTGGAGTGGGAATAGAACCATGATCATGCTGTTCCTATCTGAAACAACCTGCATTCTTTTTGTGTGCTT